TTTCCCACAATCAGGACATTCAAAGGGTTTCTCTCCTGTGTGAGTCCTCTGGTGTTTCACAAGGCTGGAATTCTCTTTGAAACTTTTCCCACAATCAGGACATTCAAAGGGTTTCTCTCCTGTGTGAGTCCTCTGGTGTTTCACAAGGCTGGAATTCTCAATGAAACCTTTCCCACAATCAGGACATTCAAAGGGTTTCTCTCCTGTGTGAGTCCTCTGGTGTTTCACAAGGCTGGAATTCTGACTGAAACTTTTCCCACAATCAACACATTCAAAGGGTTTCTCTCCCGTGTGAGTCCTCTGGTGTTTCACAAGGCTGGAATTCTGACTGAAACTATTCCCACAATCAGGACATTGAAAGGGTTTCTCTCCTGTGTGAGTCCTCTGGTGTGTCACAAGGCTGGAATTCTCACTGAAACTTTTTCCACAATCAAGACATTCAAAGGGTTTCTCTCCTGTGTGAGTCCTATGGTGGGACACCAGAATGGAATTGTGACTGAAACTTTTCCCACAATAAATACATTCAAAGGGTTTCTCTCCTGTGTGAGTACTCTGGTGGTACAGAAGGCTGGAATTCAGACTGAAACTTTTTCCACAAACAGGACATTCGAAGGGTTTCTCTCCTGTGTGAATCCTCTGGTGTGTCACAAGGCTGGAATTCTGATTGAAACTTTTCCCACAATCAGGACATTCAAAGGGTTTCTCTCCTGTGTGAATCCTCTGGTGTCTCACAAGGCAGGAATTCTGACTGAAACTTTTCCCACAATCAGGACATTGGATGGGTTTCTCTCCTGTGTGAGTCCTCTGGTGTCTCATGACATGGGAATTTGTAATGAAACTTTCGCACAATCAGTACTGTCATATGTGTTCTCCCTGCTGTGAATCCTCTGATGTATCACCACGTTGCCATGCTCACTAAAGCATTTACTGCACTAGGAGTGCTTTTATGGCTTTTCTCTTGTGTGGGTCCTTCCATGAACCACAAGGGAGCTGTTCTGACTGAAGCTTTTGCCACAATCAGATGATTTGTATGGCTTTTCTGCTGTGTGGCTCCTCTTGTGCATAATCAGTTGTGATTTGCAATCTATGCTTTTCTAACAACAGACACAACTATGGAGCTTTTCCACAGCTGATATTCTTGAGGAAGTCAAAAATATGGATAATCCCTTGTTTAGTGGTGCTTTCATTCAAGTTGTTATCTTCCTCACAGTACGAGGCCTGTATGAGTCTCTGCTCTACGTGACTTTCCTACTCACCTTTTCCTCCAACTGACTTCCAGATATTTCACTCTTTTAATGAATTAAAAATAATCTCCCTTCACTTTTCATGTAAAGTATCCTTGAGTTCTGAATAATCTACTTACTCCAGTTTGAAATCTTTCTTGATTTTCTCTCTTTTTTTCTAAGAGCTGCTGGAAGAAGAGGAGAATTGTGTGGTTTTCTGAAGAAAATGGAAAATATTTTGATTTCTGGCTTGGTTTGCTCTCCTTTTCAATGTTGCTTGTTATTCTTAGCTGTCCAGAGTGCTCTTCTTCCCATCCTCTTTTCTATAAGATTTAAGGAAAAGTTTAACTTTAATTTTTATAAAATGGTGAGAGGTGTGAAAAAAGAAGAGATGTATACATCACAATGAAAAAGCAAACATGCCACGATAGAATAATCTTTTACATTGTTTATGATTCATCTGATACATGGAAGACTACCGACATCCATGTTCAAATATCCATTCAATCAAATTCAGTTGCTGATTTGGCTAAAATTTCTTGTTGACTTTTGGTCAATCACAAATCCTTAGCAATGCAAAGGGTTATCATCAAATACATCTGGAAGTGATGGGGATAGATTATATAATTACAGATGCAACTTTTTTTCATATGTGGTGGACTTGTAAGGTTATTAAGGCCTTTTGGATACGATTGTGGTGGATTTTACAGCAAATTTTTTAAAAAAGGATTCTTTCTTCCACAGCTGTTTCTCCTAGGTATTGTGCAAGATTTAGATGTAAAAGAAACAAATCTGATGCTTTATTGTTTAACCGCTGCTCGTTTGTTGATAGCCCAGAATTGGAAGAGTCCAATTTTGCCTACAATGGAAGACTGGAGACTGAAAGTTTCGTATCTTGCTGAAATGGCAAAGATTGCGGCCTTTTTGAAGAGCCACTCGAATGAACAATTTTTATCAATATGGAGAAGATGGGTTGTTTATATTCAGAAGAAATATGGTGTGGTAGAATACAATTTAGGATTTTAGATCTTGTTTATTTTATTTTTTTTTTACTTTTTTGTGTAGATTAAGATATATGGTGGGGTTAGAGATATTAGTATTTGTTTACTTTTATATGAATATTATCCTGGGATTAGGTTTGGGAAGTAAGGGGGGGGTGGGGGGTTTATATTTGTAAGTGTGTTCACTTATGTTTGATTGTTCTTTTTAATGTAAAACAATAAAAAAAAATTTGGAAAAAAAAAAGATTATATAATTACAGATATATGCATACAGAGAGAAATACACACTCCTACAAAAGTATATATGGAAAAAATATCTGTCTTTCAAGCCTGGAAAAATGTCCCAAAATAGTTTACAGTCAAACAGAATAACAGAGTTGGAAGGAATTGGAACGCAATTGTGAATGAAAAATTAGATTTCAAAAGTAGTAAAATAGGGGGGAAAGGAAGAAAGAGATTACCTAACGTGTTTGTTAAAATGGCAGAAGAAATCTGCGTATAGAATGTCTGGAGAGAAATAAACCCAAAAAAGACTCGGTATACATTTTTTTCAAATAGACACAAATCATGGTCTAGAATTGATATGATATGGATGTCCTCTAAATTAGGAACTAATATACATGAGGTTGAGATAGAACTCATATATTTGAGCCGACCATAATCCAATAAAGCTGAGTTGGACAGGACTAAAGAAGAAATCAAGGTGGACATTGAATCAACTCTTATTAAAAGAGAAAGAATTTCAGAAATAGCAGTAAAGGAAATGGAATTCTTTTTCAAAGAAAATAAAAAAGAAGACACTTCACTCCAGTACATATGGGATG